GCACAAACAATGTGAATATAAAAGGAACTTTTCTAAAATTATTATATGTCCCAAACATGCTTGTTGTACAAGTAGGTGTTTTCGTTTTTTCTAGTTTCCTGTCTTCTTGAATTGTTTTCTCTTTTTGTCATTGAATTCTTTACCTTTTTCTAAACTGTGACCCTTTTTATTTTTACCATTTTTTTTTTATGGCAATCCTTTTTTGAAATATCAGAAATTTGTTACCCTGCCTTAATAGGCATTTTTATGCAAATTTTGTATTTGTACCTTTTTTGTCTTTACTTGAATAATAAATGTTTTTCCTTTAAAATTCTATGCAATGGTTGAGTCTTATTTTGTGATTTGCACCTATTTTGATCTCAAGGAGAAGAGAAGTCCATGTTCTCTTTTCCTTTCTATCCCTACTAACTAGGGTTTTGTGTTTGGCAGAAGAACTAAGATTTGGTAGGGAGTTAAAATTTTTTATATTTATACCTTTGAGAAAGCATGAATGACTCAATTTCCTTATTATTATTAGGTACTTCCAGAATCAAAAAGGGGGTGGTATTTTGTAAATAATTTAAAACAGCCCATTTTGTATTTTTTTCTAAATTAATAGAATTATCCAATTTTACTGAAATTTCCTGTAGTTATTTATTAATAAATAGGTCCCTTTTATGAAGGTCTTTTTTTTTTCTTTTTTTTTTTTGAGGGACTGGACAAAAACCCACCACAAACTTTAAAAACAGAAAAAAAACCACCACAAGCAAAATACATTTAAATAGAAAATTTATTAAAATTATATTTTTAATGTTTGAAGTTTTAATATTACTTATAAATTTTAATAATCATTTTAATAAAATTATCTAATATTTTTATAATTAAATGTATATAATATATGAATTAATAAAAGATTAGCTTGTAAATACATTTACTATTTATGAATAATAATGTTCTTTAATCCTAAATAAGAAAATACATATGAGGCATCTGTTGGTTTTGAGAGAACATGGATCTGTGCCCAAAGAGTTATACCTCAGCTGCTGATGGCAGCACAGCATCTGTTATGGCTGTACAGGTCCACATGGCAGAGACAGTCTCGATTGCAATGAATGCATGTGAAAAAATTCTCCCCCCATGTTGCTGTTGTTTTTTTTGTTTCATCGAGCAGGATTCTCCTTGGAGGCAAGTTTCCATTTCTCCTCTCTTTGCTCCAGCCCTCAGTATAAATCGTGTCTCCAGCATAAGTAATTGTTGGTGACATTTTCCCACCTCTTGATGTCCATCATCCTCATGTCCCTTTTGCAGATGTCCTGGCACTGTTGGAGAAGTGTGTATAGGTTGGGGAGTTGGACACAGGTGAGAATTATGGCTTTAGTCACCCAGTTGAACCAATTGCTGCCCAGAATATATCTCAGTGAAGATGAAAGGCACTGAGGCACTGCTCCTGTCTGGAGTAGAGGCTCCAAGTCTTGCTGTTGTAAAATAGCACGCTGACAACGCATACCCTATAGAATGCAATTTTAGTGTTCATAGTAAGCTTTCTGTTCTCACAGATTCTCAAGGTCAGCCTGGCAAACATGATGGCTCATCTGATCTGTTTGTTGACCTTAGTGTCTAGGGAGAGCGTGTCTGAAACAGTGGAGCCGAGGCATGTGAATTTATGAACCATCTCCAGGTTGTAGCTGTTGATTTTGATGGTGGAAGGCTGTTCAACACCCTTGTTCATCACATTGATCTTCTTCAGATTGATAGACCAAAACAAACAAATTGTCCATTAGTCACTGCAGTTGCTCTTCAGAATATACTGCCAGCATTGCATCACCTGTGAGCAGCATGTCTCTAATGAGCAGCTCACAGACTTTGGATTTCACTCTCAGCTGAGAAAAACTGAACTGCCTTCTATTTGTTCTTGTGTGCAGGTAAATGTCATTGGTTTCAGTTGAAGCCCCAAATGCACGTTTCAGCATAACAATAACATTATTTTCTTATTTAGGCCTAATGAATGGTTCCTTAAGAAAGTATATTGGTCAAAATAAAAAGAAAATATCATTTTTTTGTATTTTGGATTCCAAAATGTTTCTTTAATGAATCCTAATTCAAAAATAAATAACATATCTAAGGAATCTTAAGGCAGACAGTTGGCTAGACACAGAAGCCTAATATGTATAGCCTGTTAAAAAAAAACAAAAAAAAAAAAAAAAAAAACAAGTTCACAGATTTGGAGGGGAAAAAAAAAAAGATCCCAGAATGATATTAAAATCTGCAAAACTTTTTCATCCTTTAAAAGTTAGTTGTGCTTAGTTTAATTTGCAATGTGTGTGTATATATATATATATATATATATATCTATCACGGCTGTTTAAAACCTTTGTTTTTGTCATATAGAAAAATCTAACATGGGGCATAAACGAAATATTTAGCGAAATATGCCTTTCGTCAGTAACATTTTAAACACCTCATAGAATGTAAAGTTCTCAAAGCAAACCTGTGCCAAACTGTTTTCCTGAATCCTTGATGACTTGGCTGTCTGAAAATGACAACATCAAGATGAAATAATGGAAACTGACCATGAAAAACACAATTATGTATAACAAGTTTTTGATCGATCAGTAAACTTTTCAGGTTACGTAATAGGATCCAGACAGCTATTGTTTGCACATGGAATTATTCACTGGTAATTAATCCTCAATTTAGCTGTGGAAAATGTCACTTGGTGGTTAGCATTAAGAAATTATGCCCAATTTTCTGAGAAAAATCACCTTTTTTATGAAAAAATATTTATTTTCACTTGAAAATAATATCATTCAAACTTCGTCCCTTTCACCTTAATTTGGTGTTAAAACACAGGGTGTTAAAAACAAAACAAAACACATCAAGCCATTGTTCAAACATAGGTTTGAAAAAAAAAAACAAAAAAAACCTTATATCAAGCCCTAGCAATGTTGACCTTTTTTTTTTTTCACTCTTTGCTCTTATCTGGGAGTGGTGGGTTTTATTACAAGCTGATGACAACTTGTTCTAAATGTTTATTGCTGGCTGGCTGACCTTTGATCCAGACATATCAAAGTCAGTTTGGCTTTAATTTTCCTTATTTTTGCTTTTTTTTGGGAAAAAAACTTTTGGTTTCTGGTGGTTAAAATTCCTAAATCTTTTTTTTTAAAATTTTCCGTGGCCGGGTGTCCCTTGGCAGTCATATAATTGAAAATTACCAATGGACTTTGTCTCATTTTGATTCCTTAGGAATGTTGATTTCCTTCAAAACTCAATTTCATGCCTGAAATAGTTTGATGATGATTTAGGATTTCTGGTTTTCAAAAGAAAAAAGAAAAAAAAAAAAAAAAAAAAGGTTAATTTCCCAAAGATTGTTTAGAACTAGAACAAATGCAAAATTTTCACTATTTTTTAACATTTTATCACCTAAAAAAAAAAAATTTTGAGTCATTTACTCAATTTATGCCAATTTTACTTTTAAATGAAAGAATATATCCTTTGTTTTCAGAAAATACCAAGTTTCATGAGGTTCAGGTCAAAAGTTTCCTTGATATTTGTTTAGGTGCTGATAAAACAGTCAGTTTTCAATATTTTACCCCTATAAAAGTATGAAAATTCATTTTTTTCAGAGAAAATAAGCCCTTGACAAAATGACTTTTGCCATTTTTGTGATAATTTTACTTGGAATAGAAAATTTTTACCATAGCAAACCTGAATTGATTTTATTTATGTTCAGTGGGGCTATAGGAAACCTCAAACAGCTGTGATATAGGTAGAAAAAAATTGCAAATGTTGATAAGATAATGAGGGTCATAAAGCACTGCTGGAGCCCCTAATCAGGCTCCCCATTCCCGGTCAGAGGTAGTATGTACTGAAGGCTTCAAAAAATTCTTGGAATTTCTCCTCCAGAGTGTATGAGAACTGGTCAAGGTAGGATGGGCCTTCAACCTATGTTGAAAGAAGGCCCTAACAATCTTAGGTCAGTTAGTGTGAAGGGGTGAAATGTTCAAGTTCATTGTAGTCCTGACCAATCTGTATTCAATCAAGCATTCAGCACCTCTCATGGCACAGATCACTCAGACACACTGATCTCACATCGGTATATGATGATAAAGTTAATCATATGTCAATACTTTGAATGTTGTCTTCTATTTATCCATCATCTTAAAGTAGGTGTTGATAAATGCATAGGCAGTGATCAGTATATTTGCTGATGAGGAGCAATCTGTTGCTGTTGAGTTTGCTAATACTGTGTCTCCCAAGCACTTCTCCCTGTCTCTTCATACTCTAGCCTAGCTTGTCGTTAGAAGGGATGGCTCAGTCCAGATGTTCATAGAACTTATCCTTTGTATTACCTGGACATATGAGAGAGAAGCATAAGCACTTATAAGCACTTCCTTCAAAGAGCCTTCATCAGTAAATCAGATTTCGCTTTGTGTTGAGATGTCAATTGTCTTGCTGAAGTTTGCAATTCTTATATTGATAGGTCCGGTTTGCATAAGATAGTCATAGGTTCAGCCCATACAAGATTCAAAATGTTTCATGAATAATCTTTTTTACATGGTAATTCTTCCTTCTCCTTCAACATTCTGAGCTATGTAAGGTTCAACTCCCTATGATATTTGATATACCTACATACCCATAATATAAAAATATAATAATTTGTAATAATGCAGAAAATATTTATAATGAAATAATTTCACCAGATTACACTATTTTAAAAGACAATCCATGTATACCACTTAACTGAAATGTAAATGGATAGATAAATAAATAATACTCACTTCCCTTATTTTTCTTTAAAAATTCATCACTTTCTTCTAGCAATGAGAAAAACATTAAAAAAAAAAAAAAAACTTAATTGAAAATCCTCTAAATATGTTAATTCCATAATTTTTGACAAAGTTTGTATTTTAAACCATATTAAACCAGGAAAAAATTAATATAAAATTTTCAAATTATGTTAAATTGAACATTTTTTGAAGTTTAGGAAAAAGACATGATTATTATTATTGTATATTCTTTACCTGGTAAGCAACTTCTGAACCATATTCATTGAGTGTCTCAAAACTAACCCTCTTAGAGAGAGAAATACATGCAATCCTTCGAGGTTGAGTACAAGCAATATTCTTGAAACCAGCTTCCAGCAGATATTGTGGTAACTGTAATAGATAAACATATTAATAGGTAGAAACAGACAGTCAAAAGAGTCTTTTAGGAGAAAAATAATCTAAAAGTCAAAGTTACAAACAAAAATATGCAAACTAAAATTTGTATCTATAAAACAGAAGAGTAAAGATAAAATAAAATTAAAAAATTCTCATGTAAAACCCCAAAGCTGAATATATCCTCATTTCTGACATTTTTTGTCTTTCTTAAATATATGAATATATTTTTAAATATTTAAAACTTTGGAACTTTGACTGAAATTCTTTTAGCTAAACCATAATTTTTATAAAATTTGATTGTGATTTGAGACAAAATGATAATGCAAGTAATCTATATCTTCTCTTCTTCTATGTGATGGCTCCCTCCAGGGTGTGAGCGATCATGGCTCTCCACAATTTCCTATCCTTTGTAGATCTTAGTAAATTTTGTCTTTTTTCCTAAACAATGTTCTGCCAACCATTTACAAAAACTCATTAGGTAGGGGTTATGTGTTGTTTTCTTTCTCTCTGTTTTGCCTTCATTATGTCCAATGGGGGACTAAGCCCACTTTCTTTATTATATACCCTAGAATTTTCAACTATCTCTCTCTGATGTTAAGTATATGTCCTATTGTTTCCAATTTCTCTAAAACTTCACTGTTGATCACATGTTCAGTTCCTGGTATTCTCAACTTCTGTTGCTTCAAGTCTCTTCTTCATCTGTGTGGAGATTGCCATATAAGAGGACTGATATTATATAAAAGTTCAGTACTCTTGTCAAAAAAGACAAGAGTACTGAATTTTCATGTTTCTTAATACTTTGCTCAGCTTTTGGAAACCACCTTTTGCCATCCCAATACACCTTCAGATTTTAGTGTTGCATTTTCTGTCCTGTTTTTACTTGTTTGATTTTGGTATCCCCAATTTGTAATTTGCATATTGGGCTGTTCCTTTAACAACCATACATTCTGATTAATCTTTAGTCTTTTCTTACTTTCCTTCACTACCTTCTTTAGGAGTTCTTGCAGTTTCCTTTCTAGGTCTGCTATCAACACTATGTCATCTGTATATCTAATGTTAAGATTGTAAGTGCCAATAATGAATCCTGGTTGGACTTCTTATTCTCTCAAAATGACTTCACTGTATTGATTGAATAAGTCCGGTGAGAAGACACATCCTTGTCTTACACTCCTTATATATATATATATATATATATATATATATATATATATATATATATATATATATATTATGCCATTTTTTTATTTTTTTTAAATATGTAACAATTTTGGGGAAGTGTGCAAAATTTTTTTATGTGTAACAATTGAGAAGTGTGCAAAATAAGGATGACCCACCCACACAAATTCAACTTATATTTGTTCTTTAAAAGAAAAAAGAACTTTAGTTAAATAAAAATTATGAGACACAGGCAACTTTAGTTGTGTTGAATATTTGTTTTACAAATTTAACAATATTTTATTTAAATTAATTTTTAAAAAAATAAGGCTCGCTATAGTCTTTGCTTTTAATTTAAAATTATTTACTTTTTTTATGTTAGTAACAAACCAAAAAAAACAATGAAGTTTATTTTTTAAAGATTGAATAAAAAATTTTTTTCCATAACATAAATAAATCATTTTTCTGTATCATAGTTTTGGTGTGGGGCAAATGCCTGGACTAATTCAAGATATTTTGTTTGAAATTTATTTTTGCAAAGTAAAGTAAAAAAGAATAGATATTAAATTTTGTTTTTAAAATCTGCAATAATGAATGAATAATAAAAAGTTAAAATAATTACATATAAAATAAAAATACAGAAATAAATTCAAGTGAATAGAAAATTTAAAAATACATATAGCATCTCGAATTATCAGCAGAATTAAAAACTAAAAATGAATGGGAATAATAATTATTCCTGTTCATTTTTACCTTTTTAATTCTGAGAATTTCGAAACACTTACATGGCTAAAAATGCAATTATGTATTTTTAATTTTAAAATATCTTTGCAAATACAAATCATATGATAATTTTTTTGTAAAAAGGTGGGTTAGATGACATCGAGTCTCTCTCTTCTGTATATATATATATATATATATATATATATATATATATATATATATACACACACATTTTTATATATATATATATATATATATATATATATATATTTATTTTGTCATTAATTATTGTATGTTACAATTCGGAGCATATTTTGTGGAATTTCGTAATAGTTTGAGAAAAAAAGTAAATAAAAAAAAATATCTGATGACACATTGCTCTTAGTAGGACGAGAAATAAGCAAACTCTGAAATTACACACTAAATCTATGGACTGTCAAGGATTACTCAGACTTTCCAAAGTTTACACAAAAAATATTGTGCTTTGGGAACTTTTGCAGAAAAAATAATTTTGGTTGTAAATATGTAACATTTATAAAGAATTAACATTAATCACAAACTATTTTAAATTACAAAATTGTACTTGAATTAAACACAAATTACTTACAATACATATTACTTATAATACATTACTTTTTGCGGTTTTGATGGCACAGGTACACTAGTTTTGTATATTTACTTAATTCATTTTCTATCTGTATGCAGGCAGTTTGGTTCCAGTATAAGTTCTGGATTATTCTAATATCATTCCCAAATATGTCAAGATTACCTGGTAGTTCCAACAGTTCTTTGTGATGTACTTTTATCAAATAAATCTATATGTATTATGTATTTTATGTTGAACAAATATTTTTGCTATATTAAACACTTCAGTTCTTTCTTAAAAATATAATTTAAAAAGGATAAATGAGGAAATATTTAAAAATGATTATATTCCACATTTTTAAGGGTTGATGTTATAAATTATAAATATACTCTTTTAGTGTATTAAATTTTGCTTTTTGAACTTTCAAATCTCTACATACATAAAAGCATACTAAAAATTAATGTTAGATATTTGTTTTTTGCTTTTTTTGTTTTTTGGTGGGCAATAAAAATAATTGTGCATCATTAAAGTGAATAAAGAGAATGTTACTTTTTGGTATAAATTTATAGCATTTTTTAAATTATAACAATTACACTTGGTTCATTTTCTCGTCTATTTTTAAAATATTAGTTTCTTGGACTAAGAAGCATATCTGGATTTATAGCATAAACCAATAGCAGCAAAAATTAGTTGCAATTTTTCTTACTATGAAAGATTGTTAAAAATGATAAAATTATTATGCAGACAATAAAAACATTTGTATATTTACTTCTGTAGTGATAGCAGCAAATAAATCACTAAATAACTAGTACTAGACTATGTATAAGTATGAAACCAAAATAATAAATAAAAGAAAAATTAAAAGTTATAAAGTTACATTAAAATATAGATAAGAATGATAATTAACAATAATAAAAAAAGATAGATTTTAAAAAATAGTTAAATAAATTGAAAACTCCCATCATGCACTGGAACAGGCGTTTTGCTCCTAACTAAAACAAAAATCAAATTTTCTCTCTTCATCTTCAACGGCCAAATGAAGTAGATGTTCAGGGACAACTCTTTGACAGGTTATGTAGTTACTACCAGATAAGCACAAACGTTTTATCTCTGTATGCATATATGCTTTTTAAAATATACAATTTTTTCTCTGAAATACATACTAAAGCTTATTTTTTTTTTTTTTGTTTATGCTTATTGCGTTGTATCCTGCATATGATTTGTTTGTAATTTATATATTTCTATTGTGAGGCTGATGATGTCTTTTTAACTCCAAAGCAATATATATATATATATATATATATATATATATATATATATATATATATATATATATATAAAAAAGAACATTCAGAGACGGCCAATGCATCACAGAACAATCCACAACACTTCTATCATCTGAAGAAACCCAGATAGCTAATAAAATTTTCAGCTCCAGTCACCATCAATTAAGTCATTGATCTAAGTTTTCTTTTGTGAAGTAAGAGCAGTGCAGCTGTTAATAAAACACCACATCACACTTACACTGCCTACAGCCTTGTTTAGGTACCTCAATAAAATTTTCTAAAAAAGAGCATAGCATGATGAAAGAAGGCCTTAAACATGATAAAAATAAATTTTTACTGTTTAAATGTTTGTCATTATCAAGCAGAAAAATTAAAGTATTTTTGGGGTATTTTTTTTACATTTTTTTAATCATTCCTAGCACATCTGGAATTTTTGTAAAAATTTTGTTTTTTTTTGAGTCAGCAAAATTAACAGAAATTCAATCATGTTAACCATTTTTTCCATTTTATAAAAAAAATGAAAATCTCCGTTTAAAATTCTTTTAAAAATCCATTATAATTTTTTCAAAATTTATTTTAAGAAAATTAGAAATTAAAGTTTATCTAAAATATTTTGAAACAAACATTATTTACTTTCTGTGCTGAAAAAATATAGTTTAAAAATAAGACAAAGCAGGTCTTAACATTTGGTGTCACTTGATAGGTGACAAGTGATGATTTCATCATGTATTGACAGCTTCATGAAAACTACTACTACTCCCATCTTACTCTGCTACTGGATGAACTATGATTAACCTTTGCCTGGCACCAGATTTTCTGTATCTGTATTTTTTTCACTGAATTCCTGTGAATAAACAAAGTGCTTTCCAGGTATTCATATTTTATCCTCTATTCTTGTTTTGATTCAATATTCAAATATGACTTAACTGTGAGCATTTAACATCATTGATCGTGATCAAATTTTCATTTGTTAAAGATTAAGAATTTGAGTGCCAGTCTGTTTTTTGAAATACAGTAGATATGTTTATTATTAGATTTAAAATCATGTAAGTTTAAAGTTTGTATTTTTAACATTGCTTTTTAACTTTAAATAATTGAGGAAATGTTGAGAATGAAATCTTGGATGAATTTTTCATTAATTTTACAAATATATTTATTTCAAAAATATTTTTGATAAAAAGTACCTTTCAGTAAACTTTTGAAATGTCAATACTAATTAAACAAGGCTTAGGTACTTTGATGAGATCACTAAAAAATGAGCAAAACATGATGGAAAAGATGCCAAACTTGATGAAAAGAAAATTTTATCATCAAAATGTTTATGTTATTATTAAGAGGAAAGAACAAAGTATTTTTAATCATTTAAAAATTTTTTTTCCTTCTTTTTAGAACATTCTAAATTTTGATTAAAAAAAACCTTGTTTCTCTTTGTATCAACAGAACTACTAAATAACCTATAAAATTTTAGCGTGTATTTTTTTGTATGACAGGCATTAATTTGGAAAATCTTGCAAAAATAAAAATAATTGTCGGATTTTAACAAAACTTTCAGAAACTATTCACAAATGATGGAAATTATTATAAATATGTTTCCCTTTTTTAAAGTCATGGCAAAAATTTATGAAAACTCTAGAAATTCATTACTGTACAATTTAGTGATTATATTAATTAAAAGCACAAGGGTTTGAGGAAAGCAAATCATTTTTTTTTGTTTTTTTTAATTGAACAATTACTTAATTTTTACAAGAATTTCCAAAGTAATGTGTTTTTTAGCGCAAAAAGATGCTAAATTTCCCATACTAATATTTGCCCCACCTTGCTAATGCAAGAAAAACAAAAATTTTAACCAAAAACATAACATGCGAGAAAGGGTTAAAAAATTTAATAATTTTTTGTTCTTTCCTCTTAATAATAGCATAAACATTTTGAGTTTGGGGCCTTTTTTTATTACAGCATACTCTTTCCTGGTGAATTTTTAGAGGTGCCTATATTATATTGAATTTAAAAAGTCATTTGTGAGGATAAATAAAAATTAAGTTATTGTCAATAATTGTTAGATTTTAATGAAATTTTCAGGACTTATTCACAAATGAATTAAATTTCTAAATTTTTTTTTTTAGAAAATCTTATTAAAAATATATATATATATTTTTACATCTGTTACCAATGTAGCTGCAAGTGAAAATTTTGGTACTGTAAGCACACAGAAGCAAAAAAATATTTTTGTGTATAAGATTCAGTTTCACTTCAATGAAAGAAAGATATACACATTCAGCTGATCTTCTAGTTTCTCTTGTATACTCTTAACAATACAAACAGAAGATCTACAAAATAAACAAAAGACTGGAATATTAATTACATAACAGAAATGAAAGAACTCCTTTATCATATTGCACAAAATATTAATCAAAAAGGTGCTGAACTTACCTGAGTTGATTTACCACAACCTGTATCACCAGCAACAATGACAACTTGGTGAATTTTTACATGGTCAATAATGGTTTCTTTGTACTGTGATATTGGAAGATTCTTTTGATCATTCTTGAGTTTTTTTAGCTTACTAAACTAAAATTAAAATATTATTGTTAAAACCAACATTTAAAACATTTCAAAGTCAAAAGAGAATAGGTTTCCAATGGAAACTGAAGTCATATACAAACATTTTCCATAACAGCTAAAATTAAGACAGTAAACACAGTCCCAGTCTAATAATGCGGAAAAATATTTTTACTAAGATTCCAACACAACACAAATGAGTGTCTTAAAAATTTGTTTTAAAAACAGTATTTCAGTTTCTGGGAAAATTTTTCATCTTTAAACATTTTTATTTTTTAAGCGATCATTTTTTCAGTTTTATCTTTCTAGAAATGTAAAAAATAGGGAGTAGAAATTTTATTTTAATTACTAGCCATGGACTTCTGGTTAGTATTACTATTAGTAAAAAGAAAATCAGAGATCCTCCTTAGTTGATTATCTCAGAGTAAAAAATGATTTTATCGAGATATATTCCCCCTCTTAATTGATTTAAAAGAACTGTTCAGAAAGAACATTACAATTTTAAAAAAATAAGCGCTACTGAAATTAGTATTTCTGTCTTCACTCTCCAGTAGGCATGGAGCACCCATGCAGTTGAGAGGGTTGGAGTTGTAAGCACTGACCTTGTCAATTATTATAACTGATGATTGACAATATAACTTCAGTAGAAAAAAGTACAAAAAGCAAAATAACATTGCTGAAGCTAGACCTTTTGGGGCTCCAACCCTGTTGGGGGTTACTGTGTAGTACACACCACACTGGCCATGCAGATACATGATGTATATTATTGACATGACAATTTAATGTCAGTTTAAAAATAATTTTAAAAATGGTGGATGGCCATAAAACAGTGTTAAAAAAAAAAAAAAAAAAAGGTAGGGCTATAACAGATATGAAAGGCCAAAAAAAAATGGAGATATTAATTGGGGATAACACTGGGCAATAAAGATTATACTACTGGAACAAAAGCACATGTTTTACATTAAATCAAGTAAGTTGATTCTGAATTCTTACTTGGAATTGTTCAAGCACTGCCTTATATATGAAACAACAAAAATCTTTGTTTACTACTGAGACAAATATACAAGACTAAATTGAGCATGATGATTCAGAATTTATATTTTGAATTGTCCAAGCATACCAGGTTTTTAAAATATGCAGATTGCATGTTTATGTTCAAGGTAAATATTAATATTATATTAGTATCCACTTAAACTGCAATTCATTCAAGCTGTTTATCAGAACTTTCTTGAGTTTTAAAGAACTGAAAACTACGCAATTTTACTAAACAACATGTTAACAGCATAACAAAGAATGGAAAGTTGGAAGTCTCTTAAAATGCATTTCTAGCATCCTCATCTTGAACCCACCTAAACCCACCCACCGACCAATGAATCTGGGTGCAGGGTAGCCACAAACTTTCTGCCTGTAGTGTACTACAGACAATGAAGTTTGAGGCCACACTACATTTGTTTAAGAAAACAACTTACAATGAGAGATTTTTGTATTTTTTTAAGTAAAATAAAAAAAAAAATTTCAATAACTACAGTGGATTTGCTTTTATTTTCCAGTTTTTCTCCAGGCTCCTCTTACTACCAAAAAGTTCAAATTTGGTTCATGATACATTTTGCAAAATTATGAGTATTTTGTTTTCACCATTAACTCTGCAGTAGAAATTTGAGGTTACTAAAATTTTCAACTAAGTTAAATGTTAATACAGATTCTAAATGTTAATTCAGCACTGAGTAATGTTCTTTGAAAAAAAAAATTGTGCCATTACAATAGTATTTTCATTTTTTTTAATTTTGAAGTAATTTGTACAAAATGTCAAAATCAAAGAAGCTAAGCATTGAGGTGAGAGCACAAATTGAAATTTTATTAAAAAAAAAGGCTACTCTCAAAGACAAATTAGCAAAAGTTGAAGATTTCTAGATGTGTTTAGGAATATTCATTACAATGGTTGTTAGAAACTGGCACAAATGTTGACAGAAAAAAAGTTGGAGCACCAAAAGTGACAACTGCTGCTGAAGAGAAACACTTGATTATTGAGAGATTATTAAGAAATAGAAGGAAAACTACTCCAGAGTTGACAGCTGAACTTAATTCCTCGAAACAGCAACCAGTGCAAACAATGAAAAATCAACTTAAATTAGCAGGGTTCAGAAAATGCATAGCTATCAAGAAACTGCTATTACAAAAGGTGAATAAACAGAAAAGACTTATGAACAAAAAAGCATAAGAACTGAACACTGAAAGAATAACAAAATGTATTGTGAATTTTTTAATATTAAGAGGTTTGGTTGACTTTGTTTAGCAGCATATCAACCTCCATGTGTTATTTAATGCTGAAATTTAAATATTTCGTATGCAATTTTGGCTTCAATTTCATATTTTTTAACTTAATTTTATGCTTTCAGCTACAGATATTTTGTACATAATTTTCTACTTTCAAGGTAAACACATTCTGCTGCCAGTATTCAGACATAAAATTTTTCCATGTAGCTTTGGACATCTTGAAAGCTTTTGACAGGGTTTGGTATTACAGGTCTTCTCCACAAGCTGAAAAGTTACAGTTTCTTGGACACATTTGTGAATTGATCCAATCTTTCCTAACAAATTGTAAAATGAAAATTATTCTGAATGGCCACTCGTCTAGATCCTTTTGTACTAATGGAGGTGTATCCTTAGAACTCTATTTTTATTCCTACTTTGTTTTTAATTTTCATTAATGACTTTCCTGATGACATCAACTCTCAACTTGGCATCTACATTGATGACACAACCATTTACTCCTGCCTCAATAGTAAGGCTGATCAGTCGGACAAGGTCAAAATGGCAGCCAATGTCCAAAACAACCTCAAGTCCATTGTTAACAGGCAAAAGATGGCTTGTTAATTTTAATGCCTCCAAAACTAAACTTCTCTCCATTAATCATGAGAGACTCCTCTCTGTCTTCTATCAGCATGACTGATGACAACATCCAGGAAAGTGATTTGTTGCACCTTCTCAGGCTAACATTCTCAGCTGACATGAAGTGGAAAGACTATATTGAATTCATTGCTAGGTCAGCTGCTAAGAAAGTTGGTTCACTGTGTTATGCAAGACAATTTTTCTCTCCAGAATCTATCTATAAGTCTACCATTTTTCTATGCTTAGAATATTGCTATCATATATGGTCCAATGTCCCTGCTAAGAATCAGCAATATTATTGGTCCTGATCTAACAGCCCGGCTTCAATCAATTTCCCTACCATTGTAAGGTTGCCTCCTTGTGTCTTTTCTATAAATACTTTGATGGTAATTGTTCAGATGAGCTCTTTACTGTGGTATGTAGACTTTTTGAATTTAAGCACAGTACTAAACTGGCGTCAAGATTTCATCAATTTACAATTGAGCTGGCTCAATGTAATGATAAATTCTATGCTAACATTTTCTTTTCTTGCACTTCTCACCTGTGTAGCTCCTTTCTGGTTTCATGCTTTCCAGCCAATTTAATTTTCAAAAGTTTAAATGCAAAGTCAATTGCTATCTCTGTCCTCCTGATTACTCTTTTCTCTTCCTGCTCAGTAATGTTTCTGTTCCTAATTTTTCCACACCCAGTAACCATTTCTGTCTTATTGGCTTAACTGCTTTGCTTGGTGTGAAATCAATAGAAAAAAAAAAGCATATTTTTTTAGACCTATAATTTGTACATAATAAAAATGTATTGATGGTAATATTTTTATAAAAATGTATTGCTGGTATTTTTACTATAAAAATTTATTTAGGCCTACTCTAGAGAATGAAATGACTGATTCAAAAGTACTTTTCTCCAATTAGGACAAATGAAGGCAGCAATACATGAAAAGTATCCTTTTTAAAAAAATAAAAATAATATGTCTCAAATGTGCAAATAAAACAGTTATATCTTAGCTGCAATGTTTTAACTCATCTGTCATATTCACAAGATATTACATTACTGTATTACTATTCTCATATTTTACAGAATCTTATGACCAATGAACTTGCTTTAATAAGAGTAATTCACTCATACAAACAATACAAGAGCTCATTTTTTTCAACAATTTCCATCTGTTAAATCTGTAATAAATTTTTACATTATTGGCAATTATTGAATAAAAAATGTTTAACAGGAAAGTTTAAACAAATCTGTATAATCTTTATTTGTACTTACTTTTTGTTTTTGACAAAAATCCAAATAATGAAGGAAAATATTTCTAAATTCCAAGACAATAGCCTTACGAGTTATTATTTTTGAATCATCTATAATAAAAGAAATAAAAAAAAATGAAAGCTATAAGACAAACATTCTTTTATTAAAAAAAATTACTACTTACAGCACATCTCAATCACTTTTTATCTAAAATAAAACATACATTAGATATAATGTCTACTTGTCATGTAAAGGTTAAAATTATAAAAACAGACTCATAACAGTCAATAATATCCACATCTTTATAAAAAAATTGTAAGATTTTCAATTTGACCAGAGTTTTCATTCAAAATGTACATTGTCTCTTAACTCCTTTACTGTATTCTAACATTACTTATGAAAATATAACAAATCTTTCTTTCTGAACAGTCATTTATGTGCCATGCGTAATACACGCTTAGGCGATCATGTATCTTTCGATACATGAATGACGAGGTAGAATTTTTTTTCCCTCAGTAGGTTGCTAAAATTTCTTTCTGTATTAATGTATAATCCAACACAGCTGTTTGAGGTTTCCTATAGCCCCACTGAACATAAATAATTTCAATTCAGGTTTGCTATGGTAAAAATTTTAAACAGCTTATTTTCTCTGAAAAAATGAATTTTCATACTTTTATAGGGATAAAATATTGAAAATGATTTGTTTTATCATCATCTAAACAAATATCAAGGAAACTTTTTGACCTGAACCTCATAAAACTTTGGCATTTTCTGAAAAACAAAGAATATCATTTTTTCAACAAAAATAAAATTGGCCCTGTAAATGACTCAAAATTTTTTTTCAGGTGATAAAATGTCAAAAAAATAGTGAAAATTTTGCATTTGTTCTAGTTCTAAACAAAAATTTTCCCCATTAATGGGAAATTAACCATTTTTTTTTTTAAATCAGAAAGTCTAAATCATAATCAAACTATTGCAGGTGTGACACTATTTAGTTATGTTAATTGGCTAACTAATTAACCATAGAAATTAAAAACAGGAAAGACTTACAAACAGAAAGAGCTATATCAAAAGATAGGCTGATACACGTTAAAGAGAAGATTGTATTTTATTTTACGAAGAAAGATACTTTTTGCACAAGACAGAAAAATCCATAAGAAAACTTAAATATGAGTTTCTGTCAAAACTGATTAATGTCATGGTAAAGGAATGACTTCCAAGGGGAAACAGAATTGAAAGAAAACAAAATTGGCTGACACATGGCGGTAATAAAAATTTCGGATTTTTTTAAGGATACAGGCAGAGAGAATCAATATTAGTTATCTTTCAGAGATATCATTTAATTTTGATTCCTGGGTCCAACAAGGGGAATCCGGTATGTGTTAGAATTCTGGCATGAGGAAGAAAATCGTAGAGGAAATTATTATTATTACTTTTTCAAACTGTTGACATCAGATACAGAGTCATCGAAAATGGGCATCTGGTGATAAGAGGATTTTAAGGCATGAGAAAAATAAAGAATTTGATTCTCAGGTAAAACAGAACACCCCCCCACGTTAAAAGTTGACTTAGCAGAGAAGCCAGATGTTGGGTTTTGACAGTGATTGATGAGTCGGTAGAAAGACCTGACTAAGTGAATTTTGGGTGTCCTCAAAAGAAAGATGTGATAAGAATTATTTGCCAATTTGGGGTTTAAGTTAAAAAAAAAAAATTTTTGGCTGAAACCAAAAAAAAGAATTTTAAGAATTCTGATAATAATTTCTAGCACACCCACACTGCCGAGAGATCATTGGTCAAGTGGTAGCATGGGTGATAGGCAGAGGTGAATGTATGAGAAAGACGGAGAATATTTGTTAACACCCACTGAGGGGATTGGTATGAGATACCAATGTGAGAGAGGAAGAGTCTAGGAGGATAACTCTCCTGACCTTCCCTCAGACAAGGGGAGAAAATCAAAAATGGAAAGTGATTAATCTTCCAAAAATGGAAGTAATTAATTTTCCAAAGAACAAAGAGAATTCTTGTTGGAATGAAATTATCAAGGAACCCAAACCATGTCAGGCCCACACCAGGTTTTGGTCGGTAATCGAACGTCATAAAATGAATGCAGTCCCAGGCAGTTTCAAGTTTTGGAGTTCAGTTCTGGAGTTCAGAGTGTTGCCTCGCAGAAGCTGACTGAAAAATTCCACGTCTTTTGACTTCAATCTTCCTAAAAAAAAGCAAGTTATATTGACAAACGACTTAAAGATACCAAAACTTGCTTTGAAATGCAAAAAGTGTCACAAATCCATAGAAACAAGCCGGGCTGAGAGAAACACACTCCTGTATATAACAGACGGATAAAGATAATTTGTTATTGCTGAACATATTTGAACCTCTTGAGTTTTGTTTTATTGTTTCTTTTACTTACACTTGTACGATATCACCATCATCCTGGATTCAGCTTGCACTATGGCCCGACGTCTAATTGATTTCGTCTACCTAAGATCAAAGTCACAACATGGGTAGGTTAGACTTGAGATCAAAGTAGTTACTTCGGTAACCAGACGTTTGAAGTGAGCTGGGAACGACAAAGCTGGTATCGAACCAGGAATGACCAGATCGATCGGGGACACAGGCTGGTGACAGTGACAAGGAGTCAACCCAAAATGCTGGTGGAAGAAACCATACAGCTTCACAAAAAGAACTGTGAGTTGACCACGGGCCAACAGCGCAGTGTCACATATTGGTTTCGTGACGAGAGGACGTCACATATTGGCTCTGCAACCACCAGTGGGTGTCACACAGGCATAAAATTAAGAGTTTTGAAGGAAATCAACATTCCTAGGGGGTTAAAATGCAACAAAGTCCATTGGTAATTTTCAATTATATGAATGCCAAGGGTTAAAAAAAATTGACACCCGGCCACAGAAATCTTTAGTAAAAGGCAAAAGATTTATCTGCAATTCCTGACCACCAGAAACCAAAAGTTTTTTTCAAAAAAATAGCAGTGATAAGGAAAATTAAGCCAAATTGACTTTGACATGTCTAGGTCAAAGATCAGCCAGCTAGCAATAAATGTTCAAAACAAGTTGTCATCAGCTTGTACTAAAACCCGCCACTCCCGGATAAGAGCAAAGAGTGAAAAAAAAGGTCAACATTGCTAGGGCTTGATATAAGGTTTTTTTTTTTTCAAATCTGTTTGAACAATGGCTTGATGTCTTTTGTTTTGTTTATAACACCCCATGACCAGGGTGATGACAACACTTAGCAGACAACATTGTTTTTTTGCCACATGTATTTCATATTTCCCATTGCCCAGGCTATTTAGCCATTCCTTTTATTCAATGATGTTCATGCCAAATTAAAGAGAAAGGGATGATGTTTGAATGATATTATTTTGAAGTGAAAATAAATATTTCTTCATAAAAAAAGGTGATTTTTCTCAGAAAATTAGACATAATTTCTTAATGCTAACCGCCAAGTGACATTTTCCACAACCAAATCAAAGATTAACTACCAGTGAATAATTCCATGTGCAAACAATAGTCGTCTGGATCCTATAACGTAACCTGAAAACATCCAGAAGTTTACTGATTGATCAAAAACTTGTTGCGCATAATTGTGTTTTTCACGGTCAGTTTCCATTATTTCATCTTCTTGTCATTTTTGGACAGCCAAGTCATCAAGGATTCGGAAAAACAATTTGGCACAGGTTTGCTTTAAGAACTTTTCATTCTATGAAGTGTTTAAAATGTTACTGATGAATAGCATTTTTTGCTGAATATTTCGTTCACGTGCCATGTTGGATTTTCCTATATGACAAAAACAAGGGTTTTAAACAGACGTACCAAGACTATAGAACCTGGTCTGTCCTGCTATTTACCCATAGTTGGGGGGAGAAGAAGAGGATTCATACCTTTCCCAAGGGTATTAGCACGTAAGTGAATGTAATGGATTCAAATGGAAATCGAACTCGACTTTCTAATTCATCAATCCAAGCCACTAGCCATTACTCCACCATGCCTCCTACATTTATTGTGTACCTTCCTTGATGAAATCTATTTGCAATTTGTGCCACAGTAGCTTTTATGTTGGTTAAAAAACATCCATTTATTTCTCACATTAACTTATTTTTATATATGCATAGAACAAGTGGAAAAGAAGAACAAAGTAACTTAGAAGTTATATCAACAAAGATAATTACAAAGTTATTGTTACAAACCTACTGATTACTGATTACATAAAACAAGAAAAAATAGGAGAGATATACTGGTAAGGCATCAACTTGCTTGATCAAAATCTAAGATATAATCTAAGTGATATATCTTACAGGTTCTTCCTAATTAGAGACATCAGATACAGCTTGCTGGCAAACCAATACAGTTAATTTAGTTAATAACTATTATAGTTAAGATACATATGTTGCAATATAACATCACAGCTAAAATACAGATCACACTGAAATAGGAATGTTACCTGCAGGGAGTACTGTTAGGATTTTGTAAACTGAGAATATGTTGGATTTTTTTTAACATGTGTTTATCTTAAGACTATTCAACTTATGAAAAAATACTTGCAACTTTCAGGATAAAATAACATGAGAAGCAAGGAAGGTATTTCAACTATCAATAAATATCAAAGATCCAAAAATGGAGAGGTAGCAGGGAGTATAATTTAACAAATAAAACTTAAAAGCTACCAAGCAAAGCAACGTTGTTTTCCACTTTTTAAATTTCCAGTGCAAGATATACATTATGTCTGGTCAATGTTTTCACAATAAAATTGATATTAACCAATGTTGGTAACATTTTCAGAATATATTTCAAAATATATTTATATTGCGTGAGTTTCAGGTTATATCTCTCTTTATCAGAAATATGAATAAGGACTTATTTTAGAGAATAGCAGGTTTATTAGGTAAACTGCTAAATGAAAATTATTACCTATAAATTCAAAGGATATACAATATAGAAAATATTTGATTTTGTTAACTTCTCTATGTATTACTTGCATCAGTTTTTATAGATTCCCAAAAATTTAATTTGCTTCAATATTGTTCTTCATTCTCATATAAATTTCTTTGTTGAATGTTTTTTGTTGGGATCAATTGAGAAGGTGGGGGCCATTT